TTTATATAGGTCCTGTATATATTTTGTTAGATTTATACTTAGGTATTGAATTTTTTTTTTGGTTGCTAATGTAATGCTAAATGGCCTTGTGTTTTTAACTTAAAATTCCACTTGTTCATTGCTGGTGTATATAGGAAAGTAGTTGACTTGTCTTTAGTGAATATATTTGACAAGTAACATGTAAATTTAAGGTGTGCAACATGTTACTTTAGTAAGTTTGATGGTTATACTATAATATTGTTGTCTATTTTCATTATACTGTGCGTTAGATCTCTATAGCTTATTTACTACTTGTTGCAAGTTTATATCCTTAAACAACATCTGGCTTACCCTCCTAGCAATTGACTTTTGTATATTAATGAACCTTGTATGCTGCAATCTTGCTATAATCACTTATTAGTTCCAGCTTTTTTCTTTTTCAACAAAAAATATTCTTTTGGATTTTCCATGTAGATAATTATGTTACCTGTGAATAAAGACAATTTTATTTATTCTTTTATCTGTGTGCCTTTTGTATTATTTTCTTGTTTTTTTTTGTATTAGCTAGGATTAGCTAGAACTTCCCATATGATGGAGAAAAGGTGTGGTGATAGGCTTGCCACAGTGGTAAATGAAAGGTTCCGAGTGGGCCAGGGTTGCGCACCTATGACACGAGGCCATAATGTATCTAAAGAAGCTGTTATTTCAGGCACCTGGGTGCAGGTGGGTTGAGTGCAGAGACTGAAGGGAGAGGCAGGTTTTTATTAATCCTTGCTGGCTGCAAGCTGTTCTGCTGATGTAAGGGTCGGGTCCGTCCTTGGTTTCTCCTGATGCCAGGTATCTTCTGGTTATCTAAGCTGTGCAGTGCTCGGCTGCAAGCTTTCTGCAAGATACCTGCTAAGCACAATACATTTTCTTTGCCCTGTTTTATTCTCTTTAACCCTTTTAGTAAAACTTTCAGTTTCTCACCATTAAATATATTAGAGTTTTGTGGATGTTCTTTGTAATTTTGAAGAAGTTCTCTTTTATTACTAGTTTTCTGAATAGTATTCATCTTCATTTCACTTATACACACACACACACACACACACACGCACGCACACACACACACATACACACACACTATCCTTTACCTCTCCCTTTGAAAAACTTCTTTTAACATTTCTTGCAAAGGCCACTCTATTGATAATAAATTTCCTCAGTGTTTCTTTGTTTGAGAAAGTCTTTATTCCTCTCTCTCTTTTTTTTTTTAAACAATTTTTATTGATTTCAGAGAGGAAGGGAGAGGGGAGAGAGAGAGAGAAACATCAATGATGAGAGGGAATCATTGATCGGCTGCCTCCTGCACGCCCACCAGTGGGGATCGAGCCCACAACCCAGGCATGTGCCCCTGACTGGAATTGAACCCGGGACCCTTAAGTCTGCAGGCCGATGCTCTATCCACTGAGCCAAACCAGCTAGGGCTCTCCTTTTCTTTTGATGAATAATTTCACAGGGTACGTAATCCTAGGTTAGTGGTTATTTACTCTCAACATAGCCATTTCACTCCGTTTCTCTCCTGTTTGCATGGTTTCTGAGGCATCAGATGTCATTCTTATGTTTATTCCTATATAGGTACAGCAGCGGTTCTCAACCTGTGGGTCGCGGCCCTTTGGGGATAGAACGACCCTTTCACAGGGGTCGCCTAAGACCATTGGAAAAACACATACATAATTACATATTGTTTTTTGTGATTAATCACTATGCTTTAATTATGTTCAATTTGTAACAATGAAATTGGGGGTCACCACAACATGAGGAACTGTATTAAAGGGTCGCGGCATTAGGAAGGTTGAGAATCACTGAGGTACAGTGTTGTGTTTTTTGTTTTTGTTTTTCCTTCTGCTGGCTTCTTTTTCTATATATTCTTCATCTTTGATCTTTTGCAGTTTGAATATGATATGCCTAGGTGTTGTTATTTTGACATTTATTGTGTTTGGTTTCCTAAGTTCTTCTAGGACCTGTGGTTTGGCGTCTAATTTGGGGAAGATCTGAATCATTGTCTCAAATATTTCTTCTGTTTTTGTTTTGTTTTGTTTTTTTTTCGCTTCTGTGTTGCACCTTTTGTAGTTTCCCACAGTTCTTGGGTAATCTGTTTCAGTTTTTTTCAGTCATTTTTTTTTCTCTTTGCTTTTCAGTTTTCGAAGTTTCTATTGACATATCCTCAAGTTTAGAGATAATTTCTATCATGTCCAGTCTACTGTAGAGCTCATCAATGGCATTCTTAATTTTATTCTGTTCTTCATCTCTAGTATTTTTCTTTGATTCTTTTTTAGAATTTTCATCTCTGCTTACATTGCCCATTTGTTCTTGCATGCTGTCTCATTATTCCATTAGAACTCGTAGCATATTAATCATAGTTTAAAACATTCCTGGTCTGATTATTCCAATATTCCTGCCATGTCTGAGTCTGGTTCTGATACTTGCTCCGTCTTTTCAGACTTTTTTGTTTTATAAGTGTGCATTAATGAAAGTTAGACATAATGAACTAGATAAAATGAACACCAGCCCTTAGTGGTCTGGTGGTAAGGTGTCAGTGGGAAAGCATTCTATATTCCTGTGTTTGGGTCTCAGTCTTGTCGTGAACCTCTGCCACTGGAGTGTGAATTTCTCACATGCGTGTCAGTATCCCCTGTATCCCTCAGGTGGAACAGGGTGGCCACAGTGGGTTGGAGTTGGGTATTTCCCTTACCTAGGTGGGTTAATCTCTGACCAAACCCTAGTTGGTTAGGTGCTGACAAATAGTTTCTCTTGAGAGTAGTGGGTCTTATTAAGAAGAGAATGCTCTGGTGTCTTTCACAGTAATTACTGTTCTCCTTCCTCTGGCGTTTTGGCCCAGACTTGTCCACACTTAGTCCCAGCAATTTGTTACAGTTTAAATTTTCATGCCACTAGTGGTTTCTGGTGATGTTTCTGCTCTAAGTTGTGATTCTGTGTATCCACCTGTCTGTGTTTCTAATTTGGGGGGTAGCAATTTTCTCTATGACTTCAGCTTTGAGGGATATATGAAAAGTTGTTTATTATCCACTTTTTTAGTGCTTTACTTGTTAGAATGGAGTGATGACTTCTAACTCCCTGACATGTTGGACAGGAAACCAGAAGTTGATGCCTGTGTCTTAACTATGTCTGGTGTTTCCTTATCTAGAAAATCTTTGCTTTACCTCCAGAAAACAAACCTTCACTCCTTTTTTTAGGTGGAGTAGAGGTAGTTGCTAGAGCCCTTGAGTAAGAAAGGCAAAGTAGGGACCTGTCTACATTTCAAACAGCATTAACCCATTTATATCAAACTTTAAATCTTCTTTATTCTTCACTCTCAATATCACACTTCCTTTTGCTACCAATATTTGAATTTTCTGAGAATTCAGTGGTGTAAAACATGCCGGTTCTTACACTTTTTTTCTTACTGCCAATATATGATCTACTTTTCTTGGTCTTCTACATTGTTATGTAGCTTTTGAGGTATTGTTGCTATTATTGCTTCTCATGTTTTCCCTCTCTTGATATTTTTAATTTGTCAAGTTTTTATTTAAGGGAAATATTCAGTTAAAGCTTGTTTTTCTTTTGTTCAGTTTCTTCTTATCAGAACCCAAAATCAAAACTAAATAATTAATTTAATTCCCTGAAACATTTTATAGAGATTTGCCTATTTTCCTTCACTGGCAAGTAAAGCTAAGAATTATTTGATAATGAAATGATTTCTTATTTTTATGTTGATATCTACAGGGAGAGATAGACCTGTATATAATTATTTAAAAAAAGAAAAATCAATGGCATATTTTTTATACAAAGTAAAAGCAACTGAAATGTGATTGGGGAAAATAATTGTGACAGGTAATAAAGGTGCCCTTCTTTTTAAAGATGGACTTGAACATCTCATTAATCAGACTGCTGGCAATTATTATGATTTGTTGTTGATACTTGATTATACTACAACTAGAGGCCTGGTGCACAAAAATTTGTGTATGGGGGGACGGATTCCTCAGTCTGACCTGTGCCCTCTCGCAGTCTGGGACCCCTCGGGGGATGACCACCTGCTGGCTTAGGCCCGCTCCCTGGGGGATTGGGCCTAAGCTGGCAGTCAGACATCCCTCTGGCAGCCCGGGAGCCCTCGGGGGATGTCCACTTGCCAGTGGGAAGCAGGCCTAAGCTGCAGTCGGACATCCTTAGCACTGCTGAGGAGGTGGGAAGGCTCCCACCACCACCACTGTACTGGCAGCCGTCAGCCTGGCTTGTGGCTGAGCAGAGCTCCCCCTGTGGGAGCGCACTGACCACCAGGGTGCAGCTTCTGCATTGTGCATCTGCCCCCTGGTGGTCAGTGTGTGTCATAGTGACCAGTCATTTCCAATCATTCTGCTGTTAGGGTCAATTTGCATATTACCCTTTTATTATATAGGATAGAGGCCTGGTGCATGGGTTGGGGCCGGCCGGTTTGCCCTGAAGGGTGTCCTGGATAAGGTGGGGGTCCCGGTGGGGTGCCTGGCCAGCCTGGGTGAGGGCCGTTTTCAGACTGGCCACACCCTCTTCAGGGTGGGGGTCCCCACTGGAGTACCGGGCCAGCCTGGGTGAGGGGCTGATGGCTGTTTTCAGGCTGGCCACAGCCCCCAGCCACCCAATCTCCCAGTGGAGGCTGGCTGGAAGCAGGTATCTGGGATTTATTTATCTTCTATAACTGAAACTTTGTTTCCTTGAGCAGAGGCTACAGCCAGCCAGGGCAGGCGGGAAGCTTGGCTTCCTCCATCACCGGGGCAACCAAGCTTTCTGCTTGCTCCAGCTCCGTGGCTGTCAGCCACCATCTTGGTTGGGTTAATTTGCATATAGTCACTCTGATTGGCTGGTGGGCGTGGCTTGGGGCATAGCAAAGGTATGGTCACTTTGCATGTTTCTCTTTTATTAGATTAGATTTGATGATTTGAATCTGATTATTTACCCTTTAAAGGTTTTAAAAAGATACTATTTCTGCAATTTCTCTTTATAATATACAGAGAAAGCAACTAGTGAGATGAATACTGCTGAAGATTGGGGTCTCATTTTGGATATTTGTGATAAAGTCGGTCAGTCTCGCACTGGGTAAGTATTGCAAAATTTCAAAGAACTTTCATTCATTTGTCCTTTTTATTAATATGAATACAACAAAGATAAGGTGGAACATATTACAATTATAATTTATTTTAAAAGGAAATGTTTTTCCTAGAAGGATTTGAAGAATCATTCTATTTGGGTTACTTCTTATAACCAGTTATAGTAACATGACTGGTAAAAATGTTGCCACTTTAATCACTCTTTTCCTCCTGAAATCTAGTTTTTTTTCACTTGATTTTTCAAGTCATTAGGGATTTTTTAGTTACAAAGTTTGATGGTCATTTCTGAGTTCTGTTCTTTGTCACATCTGCAACGTACTACCACCCAACTGATGAGTGACTACTGAAAGAGGCACTTTAGGGAAGTAGAACCTTAAACTTTTTGGTATATGGGCTTTTGGGAAACACCTAGCTTTCTAAGCAGTAAAGTGAGTAGATTAACTGATATATATATATTAATATTAGTGATTTCCTTAATTCCTGGGCTAATAATGTCCAGATATTAGCAGCCTTCCCCAAACATGTTGTCTTATTCATGTACTTTCATATGGAAAATGTTAGGGAGCACTATTGCATTATACTTGATTCTTCTGGTGGTGATCTTAACCTCTGATGTACCTTTTTTTGGCTGTTGTTCTTTCCCTTCTAAATATAGATAGTTTCTTAAACATTTTTTGATTTATTTTTTTCCCTTAGCATCATTTTCTTTTCTAATATTTTTTTTCTTTTAAAATCTGACAACTTCCACATAATGTGTATTTTCAGCTCTAATTTTGTATCCAATCACTAGTTCTGTAGACACAGCATTATCTATATCCTTCCTATCTAATAATAGACAAACATGGTAATTAACCGTACCTCCGACACACTTCCCATTGGCTAATCAGGGCGATATGCAAATTAACTGCCAACCAAGATGGCGGCCGGCAGCCAGGCAGCTGAAGCGAACAGGAGGCTTGCTTGCTCCAGTGATGGAGGAATCCAAGGTTCTCATGCCTGCCGCTGCCGGCCTCTGAGCTGCAGTCTAAGCAACTATGTTGC